GCCTTGATCTACACTTGAACGGACTTACATATTCCAGTTTTTGATCAAATGGGGTATCAAACATTATATAAAATGACAACAATTATTTAATACATGGCGTGTCCCAGAATATCAGAATTATCTCGTGCATGTAATTTCGTTGCCTTCATAGATCATAATTTTAAAATATGCTAGCTTGGTATTTAGGATGTGTTATTTTCACATTTTTTTTTCTCTCTATCCCCGAGATGATAGCAATTTGATAGGAAATCGTTGAATTGGTAAATTATAAACATTACCTCCTTTGTCTGTATACCCGGTATTCATCCATGCGCGGATCTAAATGAAGAGACTGGGATCTGCAGAGTTTTAAATACCTATACTAAACTAAGTAAAAGTGACCTTGGATCCCTCCTAGATGACACTGAAACCCTGGAATATGTGTTGAGTTTGTATAAAAAGTCATGGTATTATTTGTATGGGAAACACAATCATCATCGCAAACCACGACCACAATGCCCATACTCTCCCATTCTGAAGGAAAGAGCTGTATGCCGACTTCAGACCGTGTCTTGAGAAGATGGGGTAAACAATCCGAAACATGGGAAAGGAGTTTGTTTGGGTTTATTTTGTTTATTTGGGAGGTTTGCTGTTGATTTGTTTTGTTTGTTTGCTTTTTTCGCATGTGAAGAGATTTTTGGCTTGTATATTTTTTTGACAGCAAAAAAAATTCTGGATCCGCGCCTGTTCATCTGTTGGGGTTTAAAGAGGTTTAAATAAAGTGGTTATAGATTTGGTAATTAATTTACAGTTTATTCAAACAAGTGCCGTCAAATGTCTTTGACTATGAATCTCGAATGAATTTCCAGTATGCATAGTAATGTACACTACCCTAGCGCTAGAGCTTCTACCGAAGGGATAACAGTCGACGATTTAAAAAAAAACGTGTGAAGGTATGTCGGCAAAATTATATCCTTCCATATGTACAGCAAGTCCGAAGGATGATATTTTAAACAAAATGTCCATACAATTACGCACGATAGGCAACAAATACATGTATATACACATGGTAATGTTAATTACGCAGGGCCCTTGCAACGGCTATTAAAACAGCCTTCTGTTGCCTATTATTAATTTCACCCCCCCCCCCCCCAAAAAAAACTGAACACTTAATATTCACTTTTTCGTGACTTTACGGATTAATCAATACTGTGGATACAGGTAATATTTACACTGTGAATAATTTTCCCCTATTTTCTCTTAATGTATAATTTTAAAAAGATGTTTTTGATTTATCAGGACAATATAACAGTATTTGACACTTTTTTAATCAAAGCAAAAACCATCTTCCCAAGTCAAGAGTTTCTGATCCGCTCCGCACCACATGGAGCGGAGCGGATCAGAAACTCTTGACGTGGGAAGATGGAGCGGAGCGGATCAGAAACTCTTGACTTGGGAAGATGAGCAAAAACTAGCTACCGTAGCTACATGACATTGTACAGTGTTTTTATCTCATGATTCAAAACTTTTTAACGGTCCTATGATAAATTTCACAAATTCTTAAGTAGGGTTTATTTTAGCGGATCCCCCTTCCAATTTAATAATGTAGATATAATTACCTTCATTTAGATAACGTTAACGTCATACCGTTACAATATACATGTGTATATATAACGTCAAAAGTCATGACGTTATACATGTAGATTTTACTTGAAACAATACCATTTTCAAACGACTATAAAAAGAAAACTGGAAAAGATATCACTAAAAAATAAATTATGTTATAACCCACAAAGTCTAACCTATCACATAATAAAATTTTATTCATTTTGGTGACAGGGCATATTTTTGCACTTCGTGGCTATAGCTCTTTCAATATCGCAAGGGCATACACTATTTAAAATTAAAAAAAATAAGACACCAATTGTTTCTGCATACTTTATAAAAAATGCTGCTGCTTTGTACAGAATTTGTACAGAATTTTATTGTTAAACTTTCAAGTAAATATACTCATATCGAAATATGTTTGACCTTAACTAAGTATTTTCTGCCCTTAGTAAGTCAAACTCTCGATTTAAAGAAAGCAGCAGAACTTTTCAAGTTAAGGAACATATCCTTTATTAATATTTTAAAAATGGCTAACATCTATTTAGTGTATGCCCTTGCGAAAAGGCGATTTAATTTGCCACCTCGATGTTAAACATGCAAAACTTGCACACATAAAAATGCAAAATTAACTAAATACATACGCTCGCTAATCGTTGAATAATCGCACTAAACAAATCTTTTACACTGGTATTAATCCTATCTAATATATGTATATAATATTCTTATTAGTAATAAAATGCATTGTTCACTGTAAAATTATACATAAAATACGTCTTATTTACCAAAATGACGTCATGTCGACAAGTTTGCTGTGATTGGTGATTTGTTTCTAAACTGTTGTCTGGGATTTAACTAGCAAATATTTCCAATGCAATGCTAATACAGTTGAAAATTGCAAAGTATTTGATTTTCTAGCATTATGGAGGAATAAAAATAATGTACCAATTTTTTTTTGTGACGTTACAGAAAACATTTCCGGTATAATTAGGCCCCGCCCCCTTTTCAAGCATTAACAGTGCTCCGTCTCCCACACGTTTTAAATGTCAAAACATCAAAAGGTCTAAAGGGTTAGTAGGTGATGCTTTATAACACGTACATGCGTTTATTGAATGATCCTTATCATGCTCATCTATAAATTCCGTATTTTAGTTTTTCATTTCAAAATTTTGTTTTCCTAATTTAATAATTTCGTTTTCTTTATTTTTTATTTAATAATTTTGTGTTTCTTTATTAATAGTTTAGTTTTCTTACTTTAATAGTATTGTTTTTCTTTATTTAATAATTTCATTTTTTCTTTATTTAATAATTTCGTTTTCTTTATTTAATGATTTTGTTTTTCTCAATTAAATATTTCGTTCTCATTATTTAGGATTTTCGTTTCTTTATTTAAAAATATCGATTTTCTGTATTTATGAATTTCGTTTTTTTTTCCCAATAATTTCCTTTTTCTTTATTTATTTTTGGTTTGAACTATTGAGCTTCCGTAGATAACGAGCATTATTGAAGATCAAAAGTCCAAAAAACAATACAAAAAAGCAGCAGAGCTAAAAAGGACAACCAAAATATGAGAGGTGGGATCAGGTGCCATGGACGAGTGAGCATCCCCTGCCAACCGGTCAAACCCGCAGTGTGTTCATTGTCATGATCGTGAAATAACGGAAAAATCCCCTGTCAATTCAGTGTATTAATAATGAACTAAAAATTAGTATGTAAAATGTCCATCAGCATTTGTCTCAATGATAAATTGTATTTGCTGACAAAGTCATTGTATCTATCATAGCACTTACAAAATGATGACTTTAAATGAGACTGCTGATATTCTTGTTTCATCATTTTCCTTCTCAATAATTTACTCAATAATGTAAATCATTCATACAATAGCATGCTCTTGCGTATCGAATCAACTGCGATATGTACACTCCGTAAAATATTTAAATATGAAATTACTTTTTCCTATTTTATCTGAATTAAACAAGTATAAAAAGATGGAAATGGAAATAAATGGAAGAGTAAATAAACTTTTTAAAGTGTGAGATACGTGCGAGGTACATGTGTGATTCTGCGTTAGAAAAAGTAAATGGTATATGCGTTAAAATGCTAGGGGATGAAAGCAAATTTTCATAATTTTTTAATGAACAGAAAATGTTCAGAGCACAATAAGGATTACATGTGTGTTGAAATTAAAGATAAAGGTCTGGTACTCTGAAGCATTTTAAAATTTCGTATATGACAAAATGTTGGAGAGTTATGTAGATTACGTTTAGTACATTACTTAAAACCAAAACCGTACTTTGATAATTGCTTTCTAATATGTACAAAAGCATTATGCTTGAATAAAGTTGTAATACCCAATTCCGAAAACATTCAAATACTAATGAATTCGCTTATTTGCAGTATTTTGAATTTTGGTTCATTAAACCAAAAAATTGAAGAGAACTGTATATACGTGTGAAATTACAATGGAAGGAAGAAAAGGTGCACACAACAGGAGTACGATCAGAACATGTACATTTTGATATAAAAGTAGAAATACCGGTACTCGAGTGTACTTAAGAATTCAAAAAAATTATGAAAAGACCTATTTAGTATCACGAATTGCTTACATGTGAATTTACTATGTCGATTCCTGAAAAGTTGTGACTCGAAGTAATGAACAGTTGGATTCAATGAAAGATGTAAATCATAACTTAAAACAATTGAAACATTTGCTCCAGTAGCTAAATCGGAATTTTTCATCTTTAAGGGATTTTTCATGGCATTTTTCATTGTACTGAGAATTTTAAAAATAACAGAAACGAAAGAATAAGCTAACTAGTAATTATAAGGGCCGTAATTTTTTTCGGGAATTAAGTCATCATTGTACAGGGTATTAACATCTTTTAGTTAATTAAGTCATACTTCCTGGCTTTGATCTATGTAAATATTTTGTGCACAAAATATGTAGTCGTTTGTAAATTTAAATTGCTTGAGTTCTCCTTGTACCTTTTCCTTAGAAAAAAAGACATTTATTGTAATTCATACATTCAAATTTTCCAAAATGCTTTGTACATCCAAATGCATTATGGCATTGATTTCATTATTTTACATTATATATTTAATATCTACATGTTTTTCAGTTTTCTGGCTTTCACAATGTGTAGTATTAGAAAAAAACCTTATTTACTACGGAATATAAAATGTAAATGTAAATTGCTGATTCTATCTACGTTTTTATGTCACCGAAATACGCAGTACGGTTAAGGCAACCCATGGAAAAAATATGGTAATGAAGTCATAATGAGGTTTGACGTCATGACAGTTGCTCCGTCCTGATTGATCCTTATAAGGAAATAGAGCTCAAAATAACTATTTACCGATATTTGCAAGAATTTGTAACAAACAGAAATATTTCCATGTTTAAATAAATAATTATTAGTGATTTCCTCCTATATAGAATAGCATGTTTTTAAAATAATTCTCTTTCTTATGTACCGTTCGGCTGCATTCGGCTTCAGCCAAGCGCTTGCACTCGATGACACGGAATGTTGTTTACATCTAAAAACGTGGCGACATCAGCTGAGATATGCAGTGGATTTAAATGCAATAACCAGACATTCTTTAAAGAAAATAGGGATAAGATAAGAGACAAGGCATTGTTTATCCCTATTACGAGAATATGAGGACATTATTACAGAAAATAATGGAAGACTGAGACAATCTGCACTAGCTCCTTAGATCCATCACTGCAGTGCATTCAGCCCAGGTGTGTACAATATGTAGATATGCTTTTGTTAACATCGAAGAAAAAGAACGATCGCGAGTGTGTACGTGTTTATTTAGATTATTACAGTCAGTGAAAAACTAATGCAGTTCAGTGTGTGCCCCCCGCCCCCCTTCCCAACAGCCCACATAAAGTTGATCACTTTTTTTTACTAGAAATTTAAAAATGTAATTGTACTAAATATAGAGTCGATAAGTTTATTTTCTTTGAGACAACATCTGTAATAAGGGGGTTCAACAGTAATACAAACTTAAACTAAATTAAATTTGAAATTTCATTGTTGCCGTCAATGTCAGAGTTGACAATGATTTACTGAACATGTAATGTTGTCTTTTTGGCATATAAACATGCTACATAATGTAAAAACATATCTGTATCATTATGTCGAAAACAAAGAACCTTCACTTTAGATCTATGGTTTTAAATTTATAGAATTTCTAAATTAATGGGGAATAAATATTTATTTTTTTTTAGTTTGATTTCATGTCAATTAATTTCTGTAATTTATACATAATTATTTTTTAAAATTATATGATATATTATACTTTTATTATTGTAGCAGTCAAGAGTTCCAGGCTTGAAGAATAAAAAAATACATAATGCATCCATATCTCCACAGGGTAGGTACACATATAAAGCATTCCACATTTTTTAAACCATGCATGTGTGCATGATTATATTTATTTTTTCATTTTGGTAAAGATGAAAGAATTTTTTTTTTCAATTATTTGTTCTTGTAAATGTCAGAGGTTTTAATTTCCCAGAAAAGTTTTGTAACACAACTTTGTTTCCATTTATCTTTTAATATGAATTTTATAAATTCACTACAGTATACAGTATATCATGAATTGTTTTGACAAATGTAATGTGATTTTATTATACAATGTATTTTATTTAGTAATTTCATAGCAATAGCATATACATGTATAATGTGTTGTAGCTATTCCTAAAGAATTGAACCAATGGATTCATTCAGGCGGAAAGTTAATCCATCATTTAAGGAAAATGGTACGCTTCTTATTAGCTATAAACTTAATTACCATGCAATATTCCTGGCAAACAATAAAATATAACAGTAGAATTACAAACATTTAATTATGCATCCAATGTTTGTGCATGTTTCCATGCATTATTCTGAATTTGATTCAATTTTAAACTCCAATTCACTCTCAATAATGGTATGTTACTACATGTATATCCTGATTTTCTCATACATGTATTTTCAGAATTGATTTCATCTACAAGAACATGAAGTGATGGAAATAATTTGCAGCTGTTCAGTATTCCTTGTACAGTCTACCTTAATTTGAAAAGCTGTTAATGAAATAAAATTTCTTCATATATATGATTTGACTTTTCCATATACATGTACTTACTGTACAGGTGTTGAAAAGGCTATTAAGATTTGATAATCTTGACTTGCATATATTTGTGTGGTGGGTGTCAATGTTCATCAAGATTTTATTTCCAGCATGTACATTGTGTTAATTTGTTTTTCTTAATAATAGTAACTAAAAAGGAGATTAAAGGCTCCCCTAATTGATTCAAAACAAGAAAGGGGACCACCATTTTATTTTGAAAGGAGGGGGCCGGGGGGGGGGAGGGGGGTTGGCAAGTTTTCCCAAGTCACTATTTTTTTTATTTCTTTTCATGTCAATGAAGACAGGTCTACTAATATTTATTTCCAGTAAGTTGAAGGACAGATTATTTATTTTCCTCTTCACTGAAAAATGTCTGACAAGCTAAAAAAATAAATTAGAAGAGGTGGGAACATTGGTCTGGGGCAGATAATTTATTTTTTATCCAGTCTGGGACATATTTATTTTCAACATTTTTGAGATCTAACCCCCCCCCCCTCTTTTGGAATAAAATGGTAGTCCCTTTAACAAATAGTCAAATACAGGAATATTTATGCTTTCCACTAAGTCTTAGTTCTTAAAACGTAGAACTTAAATCCCATAGGAGTTGAAGGTTTGAAAGAAAGCCATGATAGAATCTTGTATGCGAAAAAAAATATTTGTACACAACGAACGTCACAAGTGTATATATGTACAGTAGTGACAGAGGGGTATAGTTATCGAATTATTTATTGATGGAGGCTATCAATTGACTATTATAATTGAATATTCCCATTTTTATCAATAATCGGCGTTTTAGATTACATGGTGCGGCAAATTCTACAACTACATGTAACTGCATGTGTGTTTACACATATTCGAGGAAATGCGGAAGGTCTGAAAGATGTCTTATAACATACATATTTCATACATTGTATAGAGATCGAAGTCACAAAATAGAAAGTAATATCCAGTGTTTTATGCATACTGTTCGATTTAGTAAAAAGATCCCAGCGCAGTCTGCAAGTATAGGCCTAGTTATTTAAAATCTACTAGGTAAACAAACTTTATCAAGTACTCAAGAGTTATCTCCCATGCTGGGTCAACGATGCGTTTGAAAACTATATTAAGACTGACTGTACCAAGTTGTCAATTTTTAATCAAAAAGTTCAAGGGCAAGCCGACAATCTAATAAGTAGGTTTTTATTTTAAATTATTCATTTTACCGTATAGTTTTCAAAAAGTGATGCTCATTTCTTTGTAATCCTTTAGGTAATTTATAATTTCCGATGATATTAGGAAAATACCCTATTTTTCGTATACTACTAACTGTTTTAGGTGAATAACTTAAATGTATCGGAAAACCAACTGAATGAGCATCACTTTTGCAAAAGTATAGATATATAGGGACAATTTAAAACACTGTGCAGTTATTTGTTTGTTAGCCTTGCCCCTTGACTTTTTGGTTAAATTTAACATTTCATTTGTTGACCTAAAATCGGAGCCCACGTGACTTTAGAGGGTCACATGATCACAAAAATTCCGAGGTGAATAGCGATGGACATACTCTTCAAGATAACATAAAGCTATTTTAACTAGAGTGTATTGCTGAAAAATAAAATAGTTAAACATTAATTATATCTTTTTCGGTGACTTTTTATAGAAAATGTTGCCTTAACTGTACTGCGTAGAGAGCTTGCTTTACCTATTTTCATAACATCTAACTTTTTAAAATAATTATAATAAGGTTCCCCAATTTATGTCGGACGTAGCATTTTGATATGTACAAATGTGTCGGAATATTTTGTTTGGACGCTTGTATTCACGCAAAATAAGTTTTTTAATCACGAAATTTGGTATTTTCTTTCTTTTTTTTTTTGTAAACATAGAAATTTCAAGTCACCTTTCATGACATAATTTAATTTCCAGGATTAAATAGGTAAATTAAAAATACAAACACCTACAAACCTCTTAATATATCTTGTAATATTGGAAATATCACGTTTCTAAACAACGATGGACCCCTAAAGTTATGTATAAGTAACAGATAAAAATGATAGTGGTTTAATAGAATTGGTTTTTTAAAAACCAGTGGGTTTCTAAATCAAATGCTTCTACTGTTATGTGTGATTTGTCTGAAAATGTCTTAAATTTTAAAAGGAAAAACAGTATCAGTTTTTTTTAACATGAAATTTTCAAGTCACCTTTCATGACATAATTTAATTTTCAGGATCAAATAGGTAAACTAAAAATACAAACACCTACAAACCTCTTAATATATCATGTAATATTGGAAATATCACGTTTCTAAACAACGATGGACCACTTAAGTTATGTATAAGTAAAAGATAAAAATGATAGTAGTTTAATGGAATTGTTTTTTTTTAAACCAGTGGGTTTCTTAATCAAATGCTTCTACTGTTATGTGTGATATGTCTGAGAACGTCTTAAATTTTAGAATGGAAAACAGTATCTGAACGTTCTTAATTTTTACGTTTCTGAAAGTCGTGATATTGATAAATTGAACATTAAAACAACAAATTACCAGAATCCATTCCCTTGTTAAGTGCTTTAAAGCTATATATTACGAAATTAACTTACACATGCATCTAGTAAATTTATTTAACCAAGCATATAATGCATTTTTCGCATTTATACTTGATAAAATTGTTTTCTTTAAATTACATTCAAAATAAGAAGTACCGTTCACGGTAGCACAGTCGTTAGAGCGGTAGCTCTGTGATAGGAAGGTCGTGAGTTCGTATCTCGGCCGCGACTCACCTAAGTCGATAAAAAAATGGGTAGCAACTGTTCCTTCGCCATGCACTTGGCACTTTGAAGTGAAAGTTGCAGGTCTTTCGGATGAGACCTTAAAAACCGAGTCCCCGTGTTAGCGACAGGCGTTGGTACGATAAAGATCCCTCACTGCTCAATGGCCCAGAGTGCCGAGAAAAGGTAAAAATTTGAAGCCCTTCACCGGCATACGATGACGTCTCCATATGAGAGAAAAATTCTCGAGAGGGACGTTAAACAATATACAATCAATCAATCAAAATAAGAAGCAGACTGTTTAATTCAGTTACAAATGTTTTTGCTGTAAATTTGTTTTTAAATTATGATCATTTTATGAGATTATATGATAAATTTCTTTTTTATTTCTGTTTAATATAATATAGAAGTCTTGTAATCAAAAGCGTAACATACATTCTTTTTTTAATTACAGTAAGTGAACGTCATGGGGGTAAGTAAAACATTATATCAAGCCTATTCTTCAATTATCTTTACCTTGAAGAAAAGAATGGTCGTGACAGTGTTTGAAATAGAAAAATGTCATTCTTTTTCAAAAGTTATTATATTTAGTTATTTAAGGAATGACTCTAATTTTATAAAAAGTGTAAACTGACCAAAACTAGTTTTTACTCGAATTATTTGGCCAAGAATCAGAGTAATTTCCTATGACTAAAATTCAAAATCATAAAACAACTATATAGTAAAATTTCATTGCTTTTTATAAGTTCAAATTTGCATTTACCGCTCAATTATGCAATCATAGTAACTGAAGGGATGGGAAGCCAGGGTAGGTAAAGTGTAATACATGTAGACTTAGAAGCCATTATATTTGTTTAGGCGTGGTAAGATCGAGTAACTGTTTGCAATTAAAGGTACAGTTTTTAAATCTAGAATTTTCAATGAATATTGAAGTGACTTAAAATGAGAGGATTTCTTGGATAAGATGATTCAGCTGGTTGTCAAGAAGAGTGTGTCCCTATATCTACCAGGTTATACATAAATGATATATACTCAACAAAAAAAAAGATACACATAATCAGAATAATATGAAACTCTTAAGTTTTCAGTTCAAACCTTCTTTTATTTTAGCGATTTTAGAGTGTGTTGTGATAAAAATCAAACATGTCCTTTGTTGCAAATTAAAAAGTCAAGTTGATGTCATTTTCATCGCACCCAAATTCAAGGGGCATAACAGTATGTGCTGTGTGACGTCTCAATGCTAGTGGGTTTCCAATGTACGGATATCGTGAAGGAATACCATCTCATTTCAGTCTCTTGCGAACAATTTATGCACTTTTACGCTGATTTTTTCATCCAGCAATTGTAGCAGCAGTTTTTACAACAGGTTATGAATCGCATGAAGTGCTGAAAGGGGGGGGGGGTGATGGTCTTGCCTGGTTTTGGTTACCAGCGGATGGCCAGATAGTGGTCTTCAGACGTTAGTTTAACGGTTGTAAAGCCCATTGATTTATTCCAAATACAGTTGCAACTTCCTGTTGCGTGGCATTGCAGTATCAACACTGCAATCAAATCTTAAATATGGGTTTAATAGGAGTATTACTAGTTTCTCTAAATCCAAAATATCAACGAAAATAAACATCCGATTTTGAAGAAATCATGAAAAACACTACTTTCATAAACATTTTCAATCAAGGGAGATAATTCTACACTTGGGTTTTAAAACCCCATGTTGTCTTTTAAATAGGTCACAGTTATCAGATGATATAAAAAATAATTGTTGCATGTACATTTTAAAAATTTCTTTGACGAGTAAAACAATATGCGTTTCTTTTTTTGTTGAGTATATAAAAGATATTTGACGTTACTGTAGACATTTGCATTCTGAATAACATATCTCTAAATCATTCCAAAAACTTTATCTATATAAAATATTTAGGGGAAAGAAAAATACTCAAAATATGTAGTTTTTCTCTTAAAACCGGCAGTTGTCGTTCTTGTTTCCGGTAGAACTGATAAATTTCGAAAATACAAATAAAATGCAATGATTTTATCGAAAAAAAAAGTTTCAAAAAAGAAAAGTTGAAATTTTCGATATTTATGATCACTTCCTGTGACGACCGGAATTTACGGCAGACAACCTTATCCCAACTGGTTTTGCCTATTCATCAAGATCTATCTTTCCTATAAGTTTGGTACCTAAATCTCTTACCGAGATTTTCATTCTAAAGA